GGGGGGGGGGGGGGGCACACTCATTATTGACCTCCTTACACATCAATACTAATTATTGTGCTTTTACTGATCAATAAAGAGTCATGAAGGAAACCTTGGTGCAGGTGAAGTAACTGGGCTAGTCTTTATACAATATTTGTCACAGACACAGACAACTTTGACCTAAATATAAACTAGCTATGACCAATCCAAAGAATCCAGTGGCGTTGGAAAAGACACTAATCTCTTTCTCTTACACACACACACACAGCAGATCCAATAGTAATGCTCACAGTAACTGGATGAAGTCATTACATCTTGTTGACTTAACTTAATTAAAATGATTTCTGTGTAGCTGTTTTCACCTCAGTCAGCTGACAGCTCCCTGACGTTAGCTACGTTAGCTCCTAGCACTCATATATCTGGGATTATAAGCAGGTAGGAAGTTTGTTTGTTTGTTTAGGAGCAGTCAGAAGTTACACTGACAACCTAGCAATGCTAACTGTGGATAACGTACAGTCGGTATTCTTGGTGAATTAGGCCATTAGGGAGGATAACGTTAAAACCAAAACTTGTCCAGCACTTACTCCTGCGCTTTGACTCGACTCTTTCGATCCTGAAGTCATACTGTCGGAGCGGAGCGGCTGACAGAGACCCACCCTTTCCACATCTCAGGTTTGAGGAGTTTAAAGCCTCCTTGAAGTAAATCACCGAGGTCGGGGACAGAGTCTCGTCTGGACTGTCAACATGTCCGTTTTCATCCGAGGAATTGTGTCTCTCAGAACTTAGTGAAACCTCTGAAGATGAGTGCAGAGGCAGTTCCCGCTCCGCCATCCTCCCTCCGGTCCGCTTCACTTCATGTGACCAGCGCCGGGCTGTCAGTCAGCGGCTCCGCTAACGTTAGCTGAGGTTAGCTCCCGCGGCCATGCACCGCCGTGACAAGCGAAACAATCGATAGATCCGCCGGTTAACTCCGATGTCTCCCCGGTAATCACTCCGCCGTCCGTCCTGTCCTCCACGACCTCCTCTTGACCCGGAAACAGCTCTGCATTTGCATTTTGGTCAAATCTGTCGCTAATTCCGCGAGAGTTTGCGCGCTGTGTCAGCGGTCCGTTCACAGGAGCAGAGCCAGTGTCCGCGGAGGAGAGCAGTCTCTGATAGTAGATCCATCACCGACGAGCAGCCCCTGGGTGCTCCCATCATCCATTGCGAGTTACGCCGCAGCTCATGTACCTCTCTGTTTGTGAGGCTCTCTGATGAACTCTTTATGTATAACGTTGAGAAATGGCACAGCATGCTGGAAAACAACACAATGACCTTTGAGACATTCAACTTACGTGTGGGCTAGTTAGATGTATGAATGTGTATTTATAATTTTAATTTAATTGATATAATTATAATTATATAACTTAGGATATATTGTATTCCCACTGAAGGGTAGTTTTATTTTTTGCCATAGTAAAGAAATGAACAGGAAACAATATACTACTTATCATCATAACATATACTGTTAACTATATAACAAAGAGAAGTGCAAATGATAAATGATTTAATTCATGAATGAGAGTGCAGGGTACCTGTTACAAAAAAAGAAAAATGATGTACAAATATATATAGTATATGTACAAATGTTAAATAATGGAAAGTAAGTTGTATGGTGTGTATCACACTGCACCCAGCAAGTATTATAGACTAAAAAAACCAGCAGAAATAGGAGTTAAGAGCAGTGGATTAGGTTTGATGTCAGTCGTATCCATGTCAAGCTTGAGCAGAAGTGGAATAATAAAACCAAACAGTACATGTTCGTGGGAAAGGGGAAATTATGAGTCATTATGTTGAATAATACATTTACTTTTGCTAAAACTGGCGGGATTTGACCAAAATAAATATTTTAGGTTCAGTTTACAAGAATGATAATTAACAGCAATATTGATTCAAAATGTTTGTAAGACTAACTATATAACTATAATGAATTTTAATGCCCAAACCCAAAAACCCAATGTTTAATGGTGACCATGGTGATTCAATTAAGTACAGATGCCAAATTAGGATCTAACAAACTTATTAAATCATATACCGGTAGGATATATGAGTACAGGATTTAATAAGGTTTCAACTCTTCCACACATGTAATACCCATAATGGACAATAGGAGGAGATGCAGCTGGACTAATGATATTAACTCAAATGGCAGGAGGTAAGGGAAGCTGGAAAATGTGCTTTCCACATAGACATCTTACTGACCTTTATCCTGACGAGGTGCACCTGCCAAGCCTGACATTTTTAATATTTAGAGCCAACCTGAAATAATATACAAAGACATAAATGTTTCCCATCTAAACTGAAATGTGTTTTTTGATGGAGAGAGTCACTTGTTCAGTTCTCACAGAATAAGACATGCTATTTAAGGTGCTGTACTTGTCAAAGTCCACTGCAAGAGTTAACCAGCATGACATCAGACAGACTTTTCATTTAAGCCCAGCAAACCAATTTTACACACAGTACTCTGAGCCCTGCTACAAACACAGTCTGTATTACATAAGAGATATGCATTTTTAGAGAAATAGCATGAATATACACATTTTGTTGAGGAGAAGAGTGCAGTCAGCAGTTCAGATCTGCACGTGGCTTTCTTTTGTCACAGATTAACAGTAACATGAAAACTACAACACTGACTCAGTTAGTCTGTCCACAGATTGTGAGGAATGTCACCTTCTAGGAGCTTCATGTGCTTCTGTCAATGTACTCTCACGCACCCCCCTGTAATAACACGCATTCTTGACAATATACAACCACTTTACAGGTAATTTTAAACACTGGCAGCATGGCTCTATGGATTGTAGGAATGTAGGTCAGTTGATCTACCACTTTGGTCCGGACTGAAATATCTTGACAACTATTGGTTAGATTGCCATGTCATTTTGTATTGACATTCATGGTTCCTAGAAAGTGAATCCTAATGACTTTGGTGATCCCCTGACTTGTCTCCACAACTACTGGATGGACTGCCCTTCAATGTATGGCCTCCTCAGGATGAATTGTTATAGCGTTGTTGATCCACTCACTTTTATTTTATCTAGCGCCATGTTTTGGTGAGGAATTATACATTTTCCAACACTTTATTTTAAAACCAAATACCTGCAAAACTAAGATGGTGCACTTGGCAAACATAACACGTGCTCAACATCAGCATGTTAGCATTGCCATTGTGAGCATGTTAGCATTTAGCTCAAATCACCACTGTGCCTATAGCCTCGCAGAGCTGCTGTAGACTCATTTTACAGTACTGATCAGCTACATGTCAGATACTCACTCAAATACAACATATAAGACAGCGTACAGTGTC